GGGAAATTTTTAGCGGGGTTTTAAAAACAATTTTAAATTAACAAAGGCCAAATCTAATATTTCATTTTAATTATGTTTTTTAACGATAGTATTGGGGTATTTTTTGTATTTGTTTTTATCAGGCTGTCAGCCGCCCTGAGTCCGCAAGGAGAAGGGCGGGGTAAAAATTCAATTAAATAAATAAATAAATAAATAAATACCGGCTGCATGGGGCCCCTAAGCAAATAATTTCGGACAGGGAGGTGCAGTTCACAGCGACGTTTTGGAGGAGTTTTCTTAAATTAATTGGATCATCTCAAGGCTTATCATCTGCTTATCATCCGTCCACCAATGGAGCTGCAGAATCCGCTAACAAAATGGTGGAGCAGTATCTCAGATGCTATGTTTCCTACCAACAGACAAACTGGACTGACCTCCTCCCTTTCGCAGAGGTGGCGTACAATAATTCTGTTCACAGCAGTACCGGCTACACGCCTTTCAGAGTAGCCACGGGAAAAGAGTTCAGCCCAATACCTGAATAACCTCAGGTGCCCTCTGCCTCCCAGATCAATGGGTGAGGGGATGGGAAGAAGTTTGGAGAAACACGAAAATTGCGTTAAAAAAGTCTTCCGAGACTTATAAAAAGCAGGCTGATAAAAAGAGGGCTCCCCAAAGAACATTCCAAGTTGGGGAAAAAGTTAGCCATAACAATATCTCAGTAGAGTATTCTTCAAGGTTGGTGTAATAAAAGGAGATAACGGGAGGGAAAGTTCACACTTCAAACTAATTGGAGAATGTGATTAATGACTGTTAAATGAAGGAGTGAGTTATGCTTAGATACTGTGTGTTTGGGGGAGGAGAATTCAGATTTTGGCTCCTCTGTGTACGTGCCGAAGCTATGTCGCAATTAAAGATTCTTTAAGGTAAACAATGCCTCAAAGTTCTTTGAAGAGCTTCTTCTTTCGGAACCATGACACCAAGGATGAAAACCTCCTACAGTAGAATCCATATGGGTTAATATAATAGGGGGGAAAATGACATTGCTATAGGCGTATACTACAGGCTACCCAACCAAGCAGAAGAAACAGATGAACTGTAGGAAACAGTAGTAATGGGAGACTTTAACTACCCTGATATCAACTGGGAGACAAACTCTGCATCAAGTGGGAGATTGAACAGATCGAACAAAATCAGCAGGGGATCAAATAATTTTTCCCCCTCACTGTATATTAACAGATGTATAAATGTGCTCAGAAACTTCTCAGGATACTACTCTATTCTGTCAAATACTTACAGGTAAGGGATTAGATAAGGAATGTTGTGGTGATGATCGTGCAACAGGTAGCACACTTCTTCCAGGGCTTGTTCCTGGACCATTTCCTCCAGCAAACTAAAGGGAGAAGGAAAAAGGAAAAATATCAGCTACTTCAGGAAAGTTTTGTACAGCGAGTCAAATGTAGAAGTACAACAGAATCATGCCTGCAAAGGGAGTACCGTATATACTCGACTATAAGCCGAGTTTTTCAGCCCATTTTTGGGGCTGAAAAATGCCCCCCTCGGCTTATACTCGAGTCAGCGTCTCGAAGCAGTTGCTGTTGCCGCCGCCGCCAGGCAAGCCACGGCGGCTCGCCGCTCGCTCCCCCTCCCCTGGCGCTGCGCTCCGCCTGCTTGCCTGGCGGCGGCGGCGGCAGCCACAGCAACTCGCCGCTCGCTCCCCCTCCCCTGGCGCTGCGCTCCGCCTGCTTGCCTGGCGGCGGCG